GAGTCACCATGCGGAAACACATAGCCGAATCCAGCCTGCTGCCTCTTTTTATATGGTTTACAAGCTTAGTTTATACAGCCAAATTCTGTGGAAATTTGTTTCCTCATATTACATAATATAGTTGCCACCAAATTGATCCTGACTCATGGTAACCTCACATTTGCTGTAGTAGAATTGTGCTTTATAGCTTTTTCAGTATCTGATTTTTTTTGGAAGATGAACACAAGCCTTTCTTCTGGGGGCCTCTGGAGGGGCTGGAACCTTGAACCTTTTAGTTAACTGTCAAAACATTGACTCTGTACACCACCGAGCTTTTCAGTGCACAAAGCATAAATTTTCACTGTGTGACCTTTTATGGAAAGAGCATGCTTGCCACTGCTTTGGAGTATTTTCCTCATTCACTCATTGTTTTGTTCAGTGGTGTGTGTATCCATTCAGCACATTGTTTTTAGCAGTTCTCTGTAACAGGTATTATTGTAGAGGGAATAACTTCACGTGGAAGACTTTGTTTTTAAGTTGTTGCTCTTAGACAATTTTTATTTAAATTGTACTCTGCCATCATAACTAACCTATATAAAAGACTTTGTTTTTTCTGTTCTATAAGCCAGCAAATTAAGTGTGGGAATAAATTGTTTTGTTGTTAAGTGCCATTGAGTCGAGTACAACTCATGGCAACTTTGTGAACAATAGATCCTAACCCTACCCTGTTCTGTGAATCCTCATCATCTTTGGCACAGTTGAGCCCATTACTGCAGTCACCATGGCAATCCTTATCATTAAGGGTCTTCCTCAATAAATTGTAGCTTACATATATTCCTAGGCAATTTGCTTGGGAAAATCTGAGTTGGAATTGGACTCAGCTATACCTCAATGAGATGGATTGATTCTATCACGGGGAAAATGGGGATAGATGCGTCAGAGACAATGAGATTGGCAAGGGGTAGAGCAGGGTTTAGGGCTGTTGTACATAGGATCGCTATGAGTCGCAAGTGACTTGATGGCACATAACAGCAACAACAACATACCTAATAATCCCACAGGGATTCTCATTGTTCTCAAGATTAGCCACAATTTATTGCGATCCACACAGTCAAAAACCTTTGCACAGTCAATGAAATACAGATAGACTCCTCTAGTTACTCTCTGCTTTTAGCAAAGATTCATCTGACTTTGGTTATGATGTCCCAGCACCATGGCCTCTTCCAATCCCAGCTTGTGTTCTTAGTAGTTCTCCATCAATGTACTGTTCCAGTCGTTTTTTAATAATCTTCAGCAAGATTTTGCTTTATTAGTGATATTGATTGATAATTTCTGTACTCAATTGGACCACCCTTTTTTTATGGAAATAAATATGAATTTCATGTGAAACCTATACTTGGACCAAAAAGCATTTGTCAGACTAGAGTAAGGAAACACTGGATAGTTCAAAATCAGGAAAGGAGTGTGTCAGGGATTCATCCTATCTCCATACCTTTCCAATCTGTATGTGGAACAGATAATTTGGAAGGCTAGGCTGTACGAGGAGGAATATGGCATCAAGATTGGAGAAAAACTCATCAGCAGCCTGTGTTATGCAGATAACACAACCCTGCTTGCTGAAACTGAGAAAGAACTGAAGTGTTGGCATACAGAAGCTCAAGGACTGCAGTTTTCAATATAGATTGCATCTCAACATCAAGAAAACAAAAGATTCTCACCATTGGACAAATAGTCAGCATCATGTTGTTGTTAGGTGTTGTTGAGTCAAGTACAGCACATAGTAACCCTATAAACAGCAGATCAGAATCTTGTCCTATGTAGTGCCATTTTCACAGTTTCTGACACAATAGAGCCAATTGCGGCAGTCTCCATGTCAAGCCAACTGGTCGAGAGTCTTCCTCTCCTTTGTGTATCCTCTACCTTTTCAAGCATCATGTCCCTCTTGAAGAAATAGCTTCTCCTGGCAACATGCTTCAGGTATGTACATGATGCCAGGCCTCATCATCTTTGCCTCCAAAGAGAGCAGTGGCTGCACCCTCTCCAAGACATATTTGTTCTTTTGGAAATTCATGGGATATACAGTGTTTCTCTCCAACTCAAAGCTTCTCCAAAGCTCGAAGGCATCAATTCTTCTGTCATCCTTATTCATTGTCGAGCTCTCAGAAGCATAACAAGTGATTGGAAAGACCATGGCCTGAATCAGATGATTCAAACTGACATTACACCTCAATAATTTGTAAAGGTCCCTAACTTCAGACTTTCCCAGTGCAATGTGTCTCCTGATTTCTTGACTGCTGGTACCAGTGCAATGTGTCTCCTGATTTCTTGACTGCTGGTACCAAGGGTGTAAATGGTGGATCCAAGTAAGATGAAGTTGTTGATAATTTCAGTCTTTTCTTCATCTATTATGATACTGCCTATTGGTCCAGTGTTAAGTATCTTTGTTTTCTTGACATTGAGATGCAATCCATATTGAGCTGTATTCTTTGATCTTCTGCAACAAGTGCTTCAAGTCCTTCTCACTTTCAGCAAGCAAGGTTGTGTCTTCTACATAACACAAGTTACTGATGAATCTTCCTCCAATCCTCATGCCACATACATATTCATGGAGTCCAGCTTCTCGATGAATGAAGTAGCTTCATGAGAGATGGAAAAGTGATTGAGGTTATTAACATTCTCACCTTGCTCATTTCCATAAGCAACACTTTTAGCACCAGCAGTCAAGAAATCAAAAGATGAGTTGCATTAGGAAAATCTGCTGTCAGGGACCCCTTCAGAGTGCTAAAGAACAATGATATCAATCTAGAGACTAAGATCTGCCTGTAATCTAGAGGCGACTCTATGGCACATAACACTAACAACATACCTAAATCCATAGCTTGAGTTTCTAATCACCTGTAGGCAGGGCTCCTTTCAGAGGTGTGAGACTTCTGCAGTCTGACAGGGCTTGCCCTGCAATAGAATGATTCATATTTAGCTTAATGCTCTACTACCATGGTCTTGAAAAATCTTAGTAGTTTTGAATGAGAGTCTGCACATTTTCATTCTGTTCTGAGCCATTATGTAGCCTGTCCCACTACTAGATGAGGTTACTGCTTCTCTATCAGATCATATTAAAAAAAATACAAATTGAGTGAAAGTTTATAGCACAATAAAAATTGATATACATTTCAAGGGAAAGAGCATATTGGTTTTACATTCAACTCATATGCATTTTGTTTCATGACATTGATTATAAATTCTGCAATGTAACATCACTTTCCCCATTTCCTCCTGGCATTTTGCCATTCCATTCCTCCTTTCCTAACCCATCCTGCATTCCAAAGTTTGTCCTCCGGCAAAAGCTTCTCTTTTGATCTTGAGTGGTTGCTTGCTATAAGGAGTGTTGTACCCCCCTAGTGGTGGTCTTCACCTTATAGCTGCTGTTGTTGTTAGCGGTCATCAAGTTCACCAGGTTTTATAGTGACCTTATAAACAACAAATCTGAACCTTGCCAATCCTACAACATACCATCTCTGATAAACTGGAGCCTATCACAATTAATAGTCGCGTGTCAGCCCATCTTGTTGGTGGTCTTCCTCTTGTTCTCTGAGCCTCCCACTTTTCTCAACATGATGTTTTTTTTCCGATGCCTGGCCCCTCGTGACAACATACCCAAAGTATATCAGACAAAATTCCACTATCATTGCTTGGAAGGACCACCCAGACTGTACTTGTTTGGGACACTTGTTTTTTCTTTTGGCAGCCCATGGGACATTCAGTACTCATCACTTTATACACTTGTGTTATTTGGCTGAAAACTGAGCTGCTGGAGTAAGTTCAGTTTTAGACCTGGTGGATGATAAGTCAGGGTTACAGTTTCTGGGGTTCTCCCAGTCTCTCTCTCCAACCAGGAAGCCTGACACTTTTTATGACTTTGTTCTATGTGTTTTTTTCCTCCCTTTTTCCAGGGCTCACTAAGGTAATCCATTATCAGACCACATTCCTAAAAGGGTTGAAGACTGGGTATCTCTTTATACACTTTGGAGATATGTTGTTGTTGTTGTTGTTGTTGTTGTTGTTAACATCACTGAGCCAGTTCCTAAGCAATGGAGACCCTATGCACAGTAAAATGAAACACTGCCAAGTTCTGTACCATCCCCACAATGGCTACCAGTCAGACCTTTGGGCTGCACAGGGTTTTCACTGGTTGTCTTTCAACGGTATATTACCAGACCTTTCTGCTAAGCAGTATTAGAAAACAAGAGACTATCTCAGTCACAAAAGGACAAATATGGCATAGGGCCACTGTTGTAAAATGGGACTGACATACGAGTTGGAGGGAGACTGAGAAAGATGGGATGAATTATGTATACTGCATTGAAACAAATAAGGGAGAGAACTTTTTAAAAGAGATATAAGATTAGGTATTTTGTCATGACAGGAATCCAGAACGAAGGCTACATAGTGGAGTGGATTTGAGGGAGGGATTGTACAACAATGAAAGAATTTTTCATTTACTTTTAAAAGAGAAGAGAGAAGTGGGGCTAGGGGAGGTTGGGCAGGGAGAAAAGTACAAGAACAAAAGAATGGAAATACAAAGTCTCTGTAAACTTTCATTAAAATTAATAAATATATAAAAAGTTGGGGGGGAAAGAAATTTCATTATATCTACATTACATTACATTACCTTACATCGCTCAAAAGATTGGAGGAGACAAGACTCTCCCACTGCAATTGTTGGCAATTCCTTCTGTGCCTGCAGATCTTTTGAGAATATACTAAATGAGAGACAAATATTCTTAGACAGAATCTGTTCTTTGTGAAGCATAAGCATTGATTCTATCATGTCTTTTACTTTTGCCAATCCCAACACATAGTGACTTGCATTAAACAAAATACCAGAAGCATTGGGGATAAGGAAATCCTTTGTCCAGAATACATTGACTGGAACATTGTTGGCTTTGAATGTTGCTCTGAGTTTACCTAAAAATGCATGTTTAATCTCCCTTTCTTTCAATTTTCTCTTGCTTTTTTTGCAGCCTAGTCATTGTTGGTTAAGTGAGATGGTGAAACAATTGACAATCAGCTTGACTGAGCTCCTGAGCAAGTTTTCAAGTATTCCTGAAGGCTTGAGTAATCATTCTATCATAGACAAACTTGTGAAGATAGTGGATGACCTGTGGGTGTGCGTTCAAGAGCACACACCTAAGGTAACCTTGCATCATCGGGGTTACTTTTAATACTCTTCTAAAATTGAGGCTATTTGTTGGTAGAGAGTTTGGGGGAGGGCCACTGGGGAGTTTTTATTAGTGTGATTTTGCGTTTATGTTATATTGAACAGATAGCACTAATCACTATATTATATTTGTATCAGTTTCTTATTTCTGAAATCAGAATATATCAATGACAGGTGAAAATTAACATTTCTTTCTACATCCTACTAGTGCAAAGAGAGTTGTCAGATTTTTTTCTGATGAACTTTTGTATGTATGCACTTGAAAAACTAACCTTTCGTTTCAAGAGCATTAAAATTTTATACTATCTAGGAACTCTGATAAAAGTAATAATATATAACATTATGCAGTTCTCCATGATAGGAGAGGTGATTACTTGGAGAAGCACATCATGCTTGGGAAGGTGGAGGGGTTGCAAAGGACGGGAAGACCCTCCACGAGATGGGTTTACAGCAGTGACTGCAGCAGTAGATTTGAACATGTCAGAAATTGTAAGGATGGCACAGGATAGGACAGGGTTCAGATCAGTTATTCATAGGGTTGCTGAGTCGTACTTGGCTCGACGACGCCTAACAATAAAAATATGTATTATTCTGTGTGTTTATGGATATATTGAGTCAGTTAATCCCCCCTCAAAAAACTCGACCTGCAGTCTCCTGGGTTCCAACCAACATATTAAATACACATGCGGTAGTATTTGGAACACTCTGCCTAGCATTGCCATTTAATGAATGCTGAATCATCCTTTAGTCACCAACACAAATGCCATTTCCTTCATTATACCTTGTCTGATGGAACCAACTTTGAGTGACTTGCACTTCTTTTTTTTTTCTTCACAATTTTAATGAGCATTTACAGAGATTTTGGCTTTCCATTCATTTCTTGGTTCCCTTCTGTCCCCTCCTCCCCCCCCCCAGTTCGCTCCTCTCTTTCAAAAGTAAAAGAAAGACTCCCTCCCTGGTACACAATCCCCCCACACCCCTCCCACCGCCCCAAGTACATTCCACTATGCAACCTTAATTGTGGACTCTTGTGATAACCATAAGACCCTATCATACGTCGCTTTTAAATTATTCACTCCCTCATCTGTTTCAGGACTTGCACTTCTTATGAAGGATATATTTAAAGTCTGTTACTTCAACCTTAGTTAAATTAGCAGACTATTTGAAAATTTAATGTTGACTTTGTTTTATTTGTTTGCTTGTTTTTACCCCTTTCTAGAATGTAATAAAAGGATCTAAGGACCCAGAACTCAGGCAATTTACTCCAGAACAATTCTTTAACATTTTCAATAGATCCATAGAGGCTGTTAAGGACTTTAGAGAGACATCTGACACTAGTGATTGTGTGTTTTCTTCAACATTAAGTCCTAATAAAGGTAAGACATAGAAGCGTGCCCGTTTTAAATGCACTTAGCCAATTTGAATCTTATACATGTAGATAAGTATCTTCTTTTGAAACAAATATTTGTCTAACTATAAAAAGGTGTGTGTGTGCATGTGTGTGTCTAATATAAAAGGCAATTTCAGAAGCTAGAGGTTGTGGGAACTCTGAAAGCCTAGTTGTAAGAAGCTGTGCTGCATTCCCAAAGGCATGTGGTTCAAATCCACCAGCTGCTTTGCAGGAAAAGGATGGACAGTCTCCTCCCATGCAATTAACTCCCTCTGAAAACTCACTGGAGGGTCTGCTATGGGTCAGTTCTGACTTAAAAGAACACAACAACAACAGAGGCTGGGAATTTGTTGGTTTTCAAGCTAAAAATAACATGATTTTCAAATTAAAGCATTGTATCTTAGTAAATAATAGATTTCTTTTTCCTTATTTGATACATGCTTAAAAATTTTTTAATTAAAATTATACTATTCTTTACCCATGTCTCCTTAATGCTCCCTTCTCAAATATTTTCTTTATGAGTCTCTCTGAGGATCATGACTTCAATACTCTCCAGTTATTATATTAAAACTCCCTTTAAAACCTTTAGTGGTTTCCTATAATACAAAGTTTTAATTTCATGGTCTCCTCATGATGTCTAGTAATAAATTATAAGAATTTTGTAATTCCTCCCCCCCATATTTCTTAGCACAGATGTGAAGTAAGTCTTTGTTCTATGAGACAATTATCATGAATTTCTTAATCACATAAAACAGCAGGACCCAGTTTGAAATACGCTGTTGTTGTTGTGTTGTTCAGTGCTGTTGAGTCCCCTCTGACTCATGACGACCCTGTGTATAAAATGAAACTCTGCCCCATCCTTAATAATCTCTACTGAGCTTAAGCCCATCTCTGCAGTCACTGTGTCAGTCCTCTCTCACAGACCTTCCGCTTTTCCAAGCATGACACCGTTTCCCATGTCCTGCCCCCTGCTGCATAGAATCTAGTAACCGAGAGTTGGGAAGCAGGGCTGGAAAGTTATATTGCACTTCACCTTGTGGGGTCTCTAACTTACATACATCGCCTTGCAGCACTGACACATTATTGCTTTTTATTTAGATTCCAGAGTCAGTGTCACAAAACCATTTCTGTTACCCCCTGTTGCAGCCAGCTCCCTTAGGAATGACAGCAGTAGCAGTAATAATAGTAAGTACAAATACCTGATTTACTGCATGGCTCCAGGTAGCATCCATAGGAGAACTGCATGGGATTTAAAGGACATTCTCGTGATTACTACTGTTCTGTTACTATTCTTCATGCGGTGGCCCACCTGGGGATTACATGTTAGGGCAAAGTGACTGAGTTTCTGCAGAGTTTGAGGCAATGTTTAGAGAATGCTTTCAATAAAATTTCTGTAAGATTGTTATAAGTAAAACGTGAAATTCCTTTTGGGAATAGGATTTTATTGGATAGACATCTTCATGGATTTCAGATATATTTTGCATGAAATTTGCTTCACTGTTATAAGACCATTTCCCATTTTGTACATATCACAGTTTACTGTTGTGTGTTTGGAAATTTTGCTGGGTTTTTTTTTTTAACTATAAAATTACATATTGGAAGAAGATATCCCTATTTTCCTGAAATTTCTGTTTTCTTACTCAAGAGCCCCATTTCCTGGAAAACTGTGTCCTCTTTCCAAATCCAGGCAAAGGTCACTATAAAGGTTGTTTGATTTACTAAATATTCTGACCCTAAAGCTTCTTGGAAGTTGTAGGAGGGAAAAAATGTGTGTCTGCTTTTAGTTAAGAAGATCTTCCATCAGAATTATTAAGGGAGCACTAACTTTTAAGAATCATCGAAGACTAAAAAGGAGTGAGTAGTATAATACACTAGCCATCACATTCACACACAAAAAGCAGCAAACCCTATGTCCTCCAGTCAGTTCTGATTCAGAGCAAACTTGTAAGACTGAGAGAAGTTTACTCATAGAGTTTCTAAGGCTATATATCTTTGCAGTAATGTCAATTTTAAGACCAAGGTGTGCCTTGATCCAAGCTATGATATGTTCAGTTACTTCCTATGCATTTGAAAAGCATACAGTGAATAAGGATGACAGAAAGAGAATCAGTGTCCTTGAATTATGGTGTTGGAGAGAAGCACTGAATATCCCATGGATTGGTAAAAGAGTAAACAAGTCTGTCTTGGAGGAAGTGCAGGCCAAGGTGCTCCTTAGAGATAAAGGATGATGAAAGCTTCCTTTCACATACTTCGGGTATATTTTCCGGACGGACCCATTCTTGGGATAAGACATCATGCTGGGAAAGGCGGAGGGTCAGCAAAAGAAGGAAGACTCTCAACAAGACGTATTGGCCTGAGACTGTACCAGTGGACTTGAGTATATTAGAGATGGAGAAGAGGACGCAAGATAGGGCGAGGTTCAGATGTGTTGAGCATAGTCCTTATGAGTTGTACCTGACTTGATGACATCTCAGGACAGCAACATCATGCTTGCAGAAAAAGACTACCACAACTTTTGTTTGAATCGCTGTCACAGAAATTAAGCAGCTGAGTACTCTGTCACTGCACCACTACGGTTCCTTGGTTTTTACTACAAAATCCAAACCAAACCCACTGTCTTCACATTGATTCTAACCCATAGCTAACCACCAGCATGATTGTAAGGCTGTAAATCTTTACAGGAAGAGGCTCTTCCCTCATTGTAGCTGTTGGATTCAAACCTCTGACCTTTTGGTTAGCAACTCAACACATTATACACACTAGAACAAATAGGTATGGTGAGAGAATACAACCTAGATACACTCCCTTCTTAATATTAAACTATGCAGTGTTCCCCTGCTCTTTTCACACAGCAGCCTCCTGGTCCAGGTAAACGTTTCGCCTGGGCACCATTAAGTGGAACTAAGTGCCATTAAGTGGAACTACCATTCTTCTTAATGTCAGCCGAAACTTATTATGATCCAGTCAGATGTCTTTGCATAGTCAGTAAAACACAAATAGACATTCTTCTGGTATTCTTGACTTTTAGCCAGGGTCCATCTGATATCAACAATGTTATTCCTGGTGCTGTGGCCTCTTCTAAATTCTGCTTGAACTTCTGGCAGGTCCCTATCAATGTATTGTTCAGACTGTTTTTGCATGATCTTCAGCAGCGTTTTGCTTCCATGTGATATTGTGATACTGTTTGATAGCTTTCACATTCAGTTGGATCACCTTTCTTGGAAATGGGAACAAATATGGACCTCTTACAATCTGTTGGCTAGATAGTTGTCCTCCAGATTTCCTGGCATAAACGGATGTGTGCATCCAAGGCTGCATCTATTAATTGAAATAAGCCATTGATTTCTGGGGCCTTATTTTTTTGTCAGACACCTTCAATGCAGATCCCACTTCCTCTTTATTACCCTTGGCTCCTGCTCATGTACTTCCCAAAATTTTTCAGTGTCAGTCAGCTCTTTTTTGGTACAGTGATTCCCTCCATCTTCTTTTGATGCTTTCTGCGTCATTCAATATATTGCCCATAGCATCTTTCAGTATTGCTCAATATGACTCAAGGCTTAAATTTGTTTTCCAGTTCGAGTGAGTGCTTCCCTTTTTATTCTCCAATTCCAGCTCTCTGCACTGTCCATTATGATCCATTTCTTTGTCCTCTCAAGTTGCCCTTTGAAATCTGTTCAGCTGGTTTACTTTGGCATGCTTTCCCTAGTTTTGGTTTTGTGACACTCTAGTGTAATTTTTAGAATCTCTTGAGGAAGTTTGAGAATGGCACAGAATAGAACAGGGTTCAGATCTCTTCTTCATAGGGTCACTGTGAGTCGTATGCAACTTGACAGCACCTAACAACAACAACCACCCTAGTGTGATGCAGTACAACACTTGTTTATAATTATGAAACAAAAAATAAATTAAAAAAAGCAAAAACTCAATTTACTATCTCTCTTTGGGGTTTCCCCCCCCCCCACCAACCAAAATATGACGTGGACTGAGATGAAGTTGTGTATAGTTTTGTTTGTTTATTAAACAATCTTGTCTTTGTAGGGCGTAGGATCAAATTGGTAACACTTTGAGAGGTTAGATAAGAATCTTAAGAGGCAGTGAGTTTATTTAATGGGAGTGGGGAGAACTTGTCAAAAAAGGAGCATAAGAGTGATTGTGAAACTCAAAGAATATCATTGTTTTGTACTATCAGGTTGGACCAACTTTAGCTGACTTTCCAGTGGGTTTTCAGAGGTGGTAAATTTTAAGGGAAGAGAATTCATCTTTTTTCCGTGGAGTAGCTGGTGAATTTGAGCTATATATCTTTGAGTTGACTCTATATTTCTTTGCCACTAAACCACTCAAGTTCCCCCAAAGAATGTTGTTAGTGTCACTGAATTGCATGTGGAGGATTTGTTGAATTGATGTGTGTTCTGCTGTGTGTATTCTCAACAACAACAAATACATTCTTTTTCTAAAGTGACTATTCATTTCACTGCAGAGAAATTGATGTGTTTGATTACACAGTGCAATGCTTAACACACTGAGGATATTCTGTAACATAATATTTGCTACTACATAGTGTTCCCTAAAATCTAAAATTCCGATTTACATCACACACTAAATCCCCAGATTTTGAAAAAGCAGTCATAAAAGGTCCTTTATGTGCTTTGAAGGTATTTTCTGCTAGCTCTGGGTATTATTCAAGAGTGCTAGTATCTTGGTGGGGTGGAGGGACAGTACAGGAGGGGAAGGCCCTCTATGAGATGGATTGATTCAGTAACTGG